ACCCGGGAGGCGGAGCTTGCAGTGAGCTGAGATCCGGCCACTGTACTCCAGCCTGGGTGACAGAGCAAGACTACGTCTCAAAAAAAAAAAAAAAAAAAGAAATGCCAAACATATCATTCAAAGTAATATGGTACTTAGATCCTTGAATAGACAGGATCACTCAACATTCAGGTGCAAACACTGGTTGGGCTTCTCAGTTCTCCTAACAGTAGTAATTCTACCGCTTGTCCAGCTGGATTCCAAAAGTTATGAGTTTATCTATAATTGGGTATTTAGGAGACATGCAATAAAACATCTACCAAAGGATGGTTTAAAAGACTTATTGCCAGGGAAAATGATTTAAGGAATTAGTATGCATTCACTTCTATAGGCTTTATAAGTTTCATTCATGACCTAAACAACAGAATGTGTGTATATGTGGACTACAAAAATAGCCAGTAACTGAATTTAAGCTGCATTTTCACTTGGCTACCAGAGACAATCCTATGAACTCCACCATTGCTTTGGTTCGAAATTGTGGCAGGGAACATTGTCACGTTACAATATTACCTATATTGTACTCCATGTGAATCTGATACAGTATAAGGAAAAACTTGCTCTGTTCTGAGGAACTTATAGTTTCCCCTGCTCATCTGAGAGTTACATACATTATGAGATTTGCCCCTCAGACTTCTTTTACTTCTTTAACCCTCAACTTCGACCACTCTGCTTTGTTATGTTGGCAAATGCATGAGTGTTGGAAAGGGAAAAGCACAGGGTGATAAAAGTATACTAAAGAAGGACCTAGGGATTTTTTTAATTAAATAAAAATAAAGTAATACAGCATTTTACTTCTAAAGTTACTCAAAATATTTATTTTGATCTCACAAGATGGGGATTCACAGTCAATGATTATCTCAAAAATCCCAAAAAGCTAGCGAAAAAGTCAGAAATACCAGCAAACAGACCTAACAAGGAGAGGTAGAAAAAAGAGTTCAAATATTTTTCAAAGATTGCTGTCCAGTTTTGTGAATACAGTATTAGATTGTTTACTAGGAGTGACACCTAGGTGCAGCAAATAAACGCTAATGACTGAGGGCCAGATTAACCGACCTAAAAGAGGTCAAGCTTTATGAAAGCTTGGAGGAAAAAAAAAGCCACAGTGTATAGGAGTAATTACATCTAACTGCATAGCACTAAAAGACAGCCTGACATTTTAAAAGTGTGGGCATTGTGGGTAATGATAAGGGAGGAAAAAAAAAAATAAGAAAATTTAAAAGTGTGGGCACAAAGGCAATCTACAGAATGGGAGAAAAATCTGCAAACCATGTATCTGATAAGCAGTTAATTTCCAAAATACATAGGGTAGTCCTGCGACTCCACAGGAAGAAAACATTTGTTAATGGGCAAAGCAGGATTTTAAGGCTGCAGTGAACCACTCCTAAGACCCTGTCCCAAAAAAAAATAAAAGAAAAAAAGGTCCTAACTAAATAGACACTTCTCAGGTATATAAAAAGGGTGCTCAACATTACTAATCATCAGGGAAATGCAATTCAAAACCGCAATGATATATCACCTCACACCTGTCAAAATGGCTCTTGTCAAAAAGACAAGAGACAACAAATATTGGGGAGATGTGGAAAAAAGGGAATCCTGGTACATGTCAGTAGAAATGGAAAATGGTGCAGCCACTATGGAAAACAGTATGAAAGTTCCTCAAAAAAATTAAAAATAGAACTACCATATGATCCGGCAATCCCACTTCTGGGTATTTATCCAAAGGAATTGAAATCAGGATTTCGACGGACATCTGCACTCCCATGTTCGCAGTAGCATTATTCATAATAGCTAAGATATGGAAACAATCTAAATGTCCAACAAGAGATGAATGTAGTAAACGTGGTGTATATGTGTGCATGCCCAGTGGAATACTATTAAGCCTAAGAAGGAAATCCTGCCATTCACAACAACACAAATGCACCTAGATGACGTTACACTAAATCATATAAGCCAGTCCCAGAAACACAAATACTGTATGATCTCACTTATATGTGGAATCTAAACTAGCAAATTCACAGAAGCAGAGAGTAGAAGGGTGATTGCCAGGGTCTTGCGGGGAGGCAATCAAGTTTCACTTATGCCAGATAAATAAGTTCTGGAGATTTATATAGCATAGTGCCTACATCTAAGAATACTGCATTGCATACTTAAAATTGTCTAAGAGGGCAGATTTTATATCAAGTGTTCTTACCACAAAAATAATACTAATAATACATTCATAATAAAAGGGACAGGGAAACTTTAGGAATGATGGACATGTCTGTGGTGTTGATGGTGGTGGTGGTTTCACAAATATATACTTATCTCTAAACTCACAGAGTTATATACACTAACTACCACCTTTTACATGTCAAAAAAGAAATAAAGGCTTTTCATACTGAAAAAAAAGAAAAAGAAAATAATTCCAATAATCTGCAGAATGCATATTTTCCCCCATCCTATGGATACACCACTTGGGAAGAAGACAAAACTATAAGAAAAGCTCATAGTGCTATGACTTTTTAAAGCAAATAAAATGTCTCTGGACACAGTGAAAGAAATAATCTAAAAACAGAGGGAAAAGAGGGGGAAATAGGCATCAAGTGTAGTTAGTTAAAAACACGGCACAAAAGCAGAAAAAGGAGAAACTCCTCAATTACAAACAGGAATATTATGTTACAAACAAGACTACATTTCTTTTTACAAAAATAAGGGTCTGCTAAAGCAACAACATGGGCAACCCCATTTTGCATCAAATAAGACTTTACAGACACTGGCAAATGTCTATTATAGATCCCACAGACATAGAGGGTGCCTTTAAGTACTTCACAAAGGGTGAACCAGGAGTGCTCAATTCCTACAAAACTAGAGAAGAGCTAACCATAAATATACAACCTGCTTCATAAATATGTAGCCCATAATCTTAACAAATCCAGAATTATAATTTATCCTCTTCTAAAGGTCCAATCGCTATGTAAGAGTAGTAAGTCTCTAAAAAACCTTTCAGAGAAAGCAATTAGATCACTCTATCATCTCCTAGAGCTATAACATAAATCTTCTTAAGACTGAAAAACAAATATTTCAAAGTAAATCTTTAGTAGCCTGTTATTTATGGTGCTTCAAAACATTTTAAAAGGATCTTTGAAACAAAGTTTCATTAGTACCCTTCTACAAAGAGCTCTCATATCTTTCATTCTTTTAGCAATTTAAAAGCTACCAAACGTTCATTTCCTCATTAGATTATTGATTCCTAGCCTTTTAACATCTCTATAACAGCTGCTTGACAAATTACCTCACCTTATTCCTCAGGGGGTAAGGACAGCATGATAGCCATGAATTCAAAAATGGGACCACAAACTGATGAGTGAAGATGAGCTAATTGCTGCAGATGAGTTAGACACTGCTCTAATAGACTAGGCACTCACATAGCATGATACAATTAAATGCTTACACCCTAAATATTTTCTTTGTCCTTAAATGTAGAGAAAAGATATTTTCTTAAATTGAGTTTTATTTTAAAATATGTGATAGCCTCAGTAGGTCAAGAAGCTGGAACATGTTTGGAATAGTTTCTACCGAAAGCCTCGTCTTCAAAGTACTTACTCTCAATAGTTTGCACAACTTTCAGATTTAACCTTATTTCAACCTAAGAGATTCGTAAGCCCCCAAAATAGTCTATTACATAGGACAGTTATAATGCCCAAAATTTTATCAAATAAAAGCTAAGACGATTTTCAAAGATATAATAAAAATATTTCAGAGTAGTATCGTAAAATATTCCTGTTGTCTCTGCCTAGATCCGTTGTTAGTGTCAAAACAGTTTAAGACACAAAGAGAAAAAGCACACACAAACCGCGATCTTGTAGACCCCTAGAACATAAAATATTGCTTCCCCCCAGTAAGAACCACAAAATGGTATGGAATTAAAGAAGCATTTTAAATGAACAGCATTTTCCAGCCAAATTACTTAGCAAGTCAGTCTCTTTCAGACAGAAGCAATACACTCTTCTCTGAATTCAGAAACAATTTCATAGTAAAATAAACGTGTCAATTCCTTTTTAAAGCAATAAATATCTGTGCTTAGCTTTATACTGTAGGTAATAAAATTTCAAGATCTTTCAATCATTTTTTTAATTCAATCACCAGGGTCTTCAAATGTCATTTTTGCAACTGCATGACAACACTGGTGTTCATTCAACTTTTGTAATATAGTCCCATAACGAAAATGTAGACACCCAAGAAACCACACAGTTTTGGCACGATAGTGCTGACTATCCGAAACATTCCACTTGTTTCTTTCGACGTGCTCCTTCTGTGACCTGAAAGCTCTGGTTCCTACTAGCACCTTGGTGAGCTAGCTGGCTGGTCCCCCAGCCATAATATCATGTTTGATCTCTCCTGCCTGGAGAGGCGATAGCGTTGATTTTGTTTTTAAAGTTGGTGTCAGAGCAGCTACAAACTTTTTTCAGCATCCCTGCCTGGCTGCCAACTGGAGCTCTCTGTTCACTTCCTCACCAACTTGAACCACCCCCAAACTGAGAGTAAGCTGGAGTTAGACAGCGGCAGGAACTGACACACTTTCAAGAAGGGTTTGACACCGCAGAAAACTTTCACTTCTCCAACCCTTCCACCCAGGGGTTCTGGCCCTTCGCTCTTGCTTCCCCGCTAGAATTCCCCTCTGGGGCAGGACAAGGACAAGGACAGCAGATCGTTCGAATGACCCCGAAAGGGACCCCCAAAGCCCTCTCCCCTGGACTCATGGGCTGTTCTTTACACAAAAGAGCCGGGCCAGCTTGAAAAGCAAAGGGGACAGCGTCGCGGCCCTTCTCCTGGGTGCCACCCTCCACCGCGCCCGCAGACCCTGTCTCCAGCCGCCCGAGCAGTCTCCACTGGAGGCTTCCTGCCCCCAACCCGGCCAGACAAAGCCTCGGCAGCCGGGCCGGCACTTCCGAGCCTCCGGACTCGGGACGCCGCGCTCTTACCCTGGCCTCATCCAGAGTGACGCCGGCGCCACCGCTTCCCCCGGCCTTGGCGGCGGGGCAGCTGGCGGCGCGGGTCTTGGAGGAGCGGGTCCGAGAGGAGATGAAATGGCTGCTGCCTCCGGTCGCCCCAGGCTCTGCTCCGGCCCCAGGCCCAGGCCCGGGACCAGGAGACTTGGACCCGAGAAGGCGGAGAGAGCTCTTCCGGGTGTTCACCATGGTCCAGCCAGGGGGACGGAGTCCACGCCGCGCCCGGGAGAGCCGAGCAAGGCCGGCCCGCCGGCCGGTCAGTCAGGGCCAGCGGAGCCGAGCCGGGCAGTGAGAGACGAGCCGGTCCGGAGCGTGCAGAGCGCAGACGAGCACAAGAGAGAGCCGGGCAGAGGAAGGGAAGTCGGCGTGAGCAAGCGGCGAGCGGGAAGCGGGGGCGGTGCTGCAGGCGGCAGCACAGACACTCCGCCGGCTTCGCCCTCCTCAGCGGGAGCTGAGCGGAGCCGCCATTTCTACCCCTTTCTCTCCCGTTCTCGCTCTCGAGCTCCGTGCGTCAGGGCTCCAGCGCCGCAGGGCCAACGAGACCGCTTCCGGCCGCAGCCGCGGCGGGGCGCTGCGAGGCCAGCCAGCCCTTCCCGGCAGCTCTCTCCTCTCCCCGCGGCCTCCAGCTGCCCCGCCCCCGGCGCGGCGTCAGCGCTCGGCGGCCGGGGAGCGACGCTCTGGGCTGTCAGCTCGATGGTTTCCAGGTCTCCGCTACCGCAAAGCTTGGGGGACCAGAAAAGCCAGACTGATCAGGACGAGTTCGGGCGTGGACTTGGGCCAGAAGCTCTCGTGCCCAGCCAGGCCTGGACGGCCCCAGACCCCACCGTCTCCCCCGTGGCCTGGATGGAGCAGGGGACGGCCGGCGAAGGCGCGGGGTGGAAGGGGAGCGGCGACGAATTCGCGAGGAGCTGACTGGGAATCCCCGAGCTACCCGAGGCAAGACACTGAACTTGAGTCGCACTTTTCATGCCTGTAAAAATGAGAATGACAGCTGTGATAAAAAATTGATCTGGGCGGTATCTGGAACGTGGTAAGCTTAAGACGAAAAGGGTGGGGGGCGCGAAACACCACGCTAGAACCCTGCGTCTTTAAACAAAGCGAGGCAGGGTCGTTTTCTATCGTCTTAGCCAGATCTAAGGCGGAGTCAAAGAATGAGTTCCCTCTAAGAGCCGCCTCTATCACCGCCCCCTGCCCCTGGCCCGCTGAAGAATTAGCATTCAAAAAGCTGAGCCCAAAGATATAACATTTGCAATTTAACTTCCAAAGAAAAAAAAAATTAAGCCACACAATTCATATGAAAAGCTCTGCTGCAGGCCGGGTGCGGCGGCTCACGCCTGTAATCCCAGCACTTTGGGAGGCCGGGGTGGGTGGATCACCTGAGGTCAGGAGTTCGAGGCCAACCTGACCAACATGGTGAAACCCTGTCTCTACTAAAAATACAAAAAAATAGACGGGTGTTGTGGCGGGCACCAGTAATCCCAGCTGCTCGGGAAGCTGAGGCATGAGAATCACTTGAACCCAGAAGACGGAGGTTGCAGTGAGCCGAAATGACGCCACTGCGCTCCAGCCTGAACGATAGAGCCAGACCCTGTCTCAAAAAAAAAAAAGAAAGAAAGAAAGAAAAGGAAGAAACGGAAGGAAGGAAAAAGAAAGGAAGGAGAGAAAAAACTTTGCTGTAAAGTAGGAATTAGGTTCATTTCAAAAATTCACAATACAGGTCGGGAGCAGTGGCTGAGGCCTGTAATCCCAGCACTTTGGGAGGCCGAGGCAGGTGGATCACTTGAGGTCAGGAGTTCGAGACCAACCTGACCAACATGGTGAAACCCCATGTACTAAAAAATACAAAAAATTAGCCAGGTGTGGTGCCACATGCCTGTAATCCCAACTACTTAGGAGGCTGAGGCAGGAGAATCGCTTGAACCCCGGAGGCAGAGGTTGCAGTGAGCCGAGATCGTGCCACTGCACTCCAGCCTGGGTGACAGAATGAGACTCCGTCTCAAAAAAAAAAAAAAAAAAAAAAATTCACAGTACATTAGACATAGCCTACTGGTTATTGGGCAGAAGTTTATTAAACTCTTTATTAAACTAAGAAAAATTGAAGACTCAAGAAACGTCCTGAAAATGACCAAATGGCATCAAACTTAGAGCATTCTGGCCATCTAAGCTCCCAGTCATTCCAAAAAACTGTACGACACTGGGAATGAGAATGTTTTTTTCTGTTTGGGAACCAGTATGGATTCCAGAATAGATAAATCCTTCTGACACAATTTGCATGCCACATCCTCTCCTGGATACTTCACCTGCCACTTAGAGCTGGCATCTTAATGGGTGTGGATTCCTCATAATGGAACCATACCTGGATTTTCCTGGGTCAGGTAGCCATCACATCCATGAGCAGAATAAACAAGTATCAATTCCTGTGGAAAGAGACTGGTTTCGGCCAGGCACTGTAACTCGCACCTGTATTCTCAGCACTTAGAGGCCAAGGTGGGAGGATGGCTTGAGACCAGCCTGGGCAACATAGTGAGATCCTCTCTCTACCAAAAAGAGAGAGAGACAGAGTCTCGCTCTGTCACCCAGGCTAGAGTACAGTGGCACAACCTCAGCTCACTACAGCCTCGACCTCCCAGGCTCAAGCGATCCCCCTGCCTCAGCCTCCCCAGTCGCTGAGACTACTGGGTGTGGTGCCTGTGGTCCCAGCCACTCCTGAGGCTGAGGCGCCATCAATCACTTGAGCCCAGGATGACCAGGCGACAATGAGCCAAGTTCATGCCACTGTACTTTAGCCTGGGTGACAGAGTAACACCCTGTCTCAGAAAAGATTTTTTAAAAAGGGTAGGGTGCAGTGGCTAATGCCTGTAATCTCAGCACTTTGGGAGGGCAAGGCTGGCGGATCACTTGAGGTCAGGAGTTCGAGACCAGCCTGACCAACATGGTGAAACCCCATTTCTACTAAAATTACAAAAAATTAACCGGGCATGGTGGCAGATGCCTGTAATGTCAGCTATTCGGGAGGCTGAGGCAGAATAATCGCTTGAACCCAGGAGGTGGAGGTTGCAGTGAGCTGAGATTGCACCACTGCACTCCAGTCTGGGCAACAGTGCAAAACTCCATCTCAAAAAAAAAAAAAAAACAGGCTAGTGTCCTGCAGAGGTGTGTGGTATGCAAATTATATACAAAGGATTTGTGTGCTTTCCTCCTTTGTTTTTGTTTGTTTGCTTTTGTAGTCCTAAATTGGGAAGGCCAAGTTACCATAACCTATACCATTTACTATCAACAAATGTTAACCTTATTTATTTATTTGAGATGGAGTCTTGCTCTGTCGCTCAGGCTGGAGTGCAGTGGTTCGATCTGGGCTCACTGCAACCTCCACCTCCTGGGTTCAAGCGATTCTCCTGCCTCAGCCTCCCAAGTAGCTGGGGCTACAGGCGTGTGCCACCACGCCCGGCTAATTTTTTGTAGTTTTTAGTAGAGATGGGGTTTCACCGTGTTTGCCAGGATGGTCTTATCTCCTGACCTCGTGATCTGGCTGCCTCCGCCTCCCAAAGTGCTGGGATTACAGGCGTGAGCCACTGCGCCTGGAGGTAACAAAAGTTAATTTTAAATCCAACTAAGCTTGAGCCTAGGAGTTTGAGACCAGCCTGGGCAACATAGTGAGACCCTGTCTCTAGAAAATATGTAAGTAAATAAATAAATCCAACTGGTATTAGGTACTCTGCTAGGCCAGGAAATACACAGATTTTTAAAAATCAAGAACATTTAAACATTCTCAAAGAGGCGGGCGCGGTGGCTCACGCCTGTAATCCCAGCACTTTGGGAGGCCGAGGCGGGCGGATCATGAGATCAGGAGTTCAAGAGCAAGATCAGGAGTCAAGAGCTTGCTGTGAGCTAAGATAGCCTCACTGCACTCCAGCCTGGACAACAGAGCGAGACTCCGTCTCAAAAAAAAAAAAAATCCTCAAAGAACACACAGACATAGAGGGAATGAATAAGATAGGGAAGAAACCGGTAAACTGCAATACAATGTGATAAGAATGAGGCAGAGGCCATTAATTCCAGCAGGGATTTTAGGGAAAACCTCTGAGAGATAATGAACCCTGAGATATGTGTTGAACCCCAAAATTGTAGATAAAAGAAAGAAAGACTTGAAAAAGATATGGCCAAGCAAGGTGACTCAGGCCTATAAATCCTAGCACTTTGGGAGGCTGAGGTGGGAGGATGGCTTGAGCTCAGGCGTTCAAGACCAGCCTGGGCAACATAGTGAGACCCCATCTCTATAAATTAAAATAAAATTTAAAAAGAAAGAAAAAGGGCTGGTTGCAGTGGCTCATGCCTGTAATCCCAGAATTTAGGGAGGCTGAGGTAGGAGAATCTCCTGAGCTCAGGATTTCAAGACTAGGCTGGGCAACATAGTGAGACCCCATCTCTATAAATTAAAATAAATTTTTTTTAAAAAGGAGGCCAGGCGCAGTGGCTCACGCCTGTAATTCCAGCACTTTGGGAGGTTGAGGCAGGTGGATCATGAGATCAGGAGTTCAAGACCAACCTGGCCAAGATGGTGAAACCCTGTCTCTACTAAAAATACAAAAAAAAATTAGCTGGGTTTGGTGGTGGGCACCTGTAATCTCAGCTACTCTGGAGACTAAGGCAAGGAATTGCCTCAGATTGCAATGAGCTAAGATCACACCACTGCACTCCAGCCTGGGCGACAGAGTGAGATTGCATCTCAAAAAAAAGGGGGGCTGGGCGCAGTGGCTCTTGCCTGTAACCCCAGCACTTTGGGAGTCCAAGGCAGGCAGATCACTTGAGGCCAGGAGTTCAAGGTCAGCCTGGCCAACATGGCGAAACCCCATCTCTACTAAAAATACAAAAATGAGCTGGGCATGGTGGTGCATAACCTATAATGTAATCCCAGATACTCAGGAGGCTAAGGCATGAGAATCACTTGAACCCGAAAGGTGGAGGCTGCAGTAAGCCAAGACCTCACCACTGCACTCCAACCTAGGCAACAGAGTGAGACCCTGTCTCAGAAAGAAAATTAAGAAAAGAAAAGAGATATGGAAGAGTTGCCTGTTTTCTACAGTACATACTAGAGGAAATAACTAAAACGCTGGTTAAATATTTTTTGAACTTTAAAAAAAAAACCCTGCAGTACATGTAAGAGGTGGCAAGATACTAAGAAATGCTCAGATCAAAAGCTAAGTCACAGCAGGAACCCAGGACAAGTAAGCAAGGCTCTGAAGACAGCTTTCATTTCCAATGCATTTGCTCAACCCCAGAGAATTTGACCTATTCTCTCTGCTTTAAGAAATGCAAGGCCGGGCACAGTGGCTCACGCCTGTAATCCCAGCACTTTGGGAGGCTGAGGTGGGTGGATCATGAGGTCAGGATTTCGAGACCAGCCTGACCAACATAGTGAAACCCCGTCTCTACTACAAATACAAAAATTAGCCAGGCATTATGGCAGGCAACTGTAATCCCAGCTACTCAGGAGGCTGAGGCAGGAGAATCACTTGAACCCGGGAGGCAGAGGTTGCAGTGAGCCGAG